TTTAGAATGGTTATGGACCATTGACTGCTATGTTACTTCCATTTCCCTCTTTTTAAATAGGAGTGACTACTGCAGTTATTCTATCACCATCTTATTGTTTTATGTTGGATATGGGGGATAAGTAACTTTTTCTCCAGATTGAGATGAGATGCACTTGAGAAGCCTCAGCCACATCTGGACTTGATGCAGATCATGAGATGCAGGAGTTGAGCATGATACTGTAGCTGGAAAAGATTTTGGTGACCCTGGTGGGGGAGTGTGTTGTAGTTTTCACATGGGAGAGATGTGAATTGTGGTGGCCAGAGGGAAGAGTGATACAGTCTCCAAGATTGCCACCATCCATTCTTCCTCTCCTGTACACACATACTATTCCACATACTAAGTGGTGAAATCTAGGCTGAACTTGTGACTTACTTTGAAAAATAGAATGCATCAGAAATTATGGTCTAGGGAATTCCCTAGTGGCCCAGTGGTCAGGACCTCACGCTTTCACTGCTGAGGGCTTGGATTCAATCCCTGGTTTGGGAACTGATATCCTATAAGCCACAGAGCACAGCCAAAAAGAAAAAAGGAAGGAAAGAAATAAATAGAGAGAGAGAGAGAGAGAGCGAGAGAGAGAGGGAGGGAGGGAGGGAGGGAGGGAGGAAAGGGAAGGAAGGGAAGGAAAGAAAGGAAGGCAGGAAGAAAGAAAGAGAAAGAGAGAGAGAAAGAAAGAGAGAAAGAGAGAGAGAGAAAGAAAGAAAGAAAGAAAGAAAGAAAGAAAGAAAGAAAGAAAGAAAGAAAGAAAGAAAGAAAGAAAGGAGAGGGAAGAAGGGAGGGAGGGAGGAAGGGAAGAAGGAAGGAAGGAAGGAAAGGGAAGGAAAGAAAGGAAGAAAGGCAGAAAGAAAGAAAGAAAGAAAGAAAGAAAGAAAGAAAGAAAGAAAGAAAAGAAAGAAAGAAAAAGGAAGGAAGGAAGGAAGGAAGGAAGGAAGGAAGGAAGGAAGAAGGAAGAAGGAAATTATGGTCTAGGATTTATGAGTCCAGATCTTTAGAGAACTTTCAGCTTCCACTTCTCTGCTGGAAATCAGGCACCATATATTAAAACCTGACTACCCTAAGATCATCATTCTGCGAAGACGCCAAGGTTACCAACTTGGAGAGGCCCCATAGAATGAAAGAAAGAAAATCAGGCAGCCTCCAACTTTTCTGGCAAACCACACTGGTGAAAGCACTGAAATTTTGAGCACCAAATATATGAGTAAGGAAGCCATCTTAGACATTCAAAGCCCAGCAGACATCACTTGAAGCAGAAGAAATGCCCAACTGAGCCCAGCATAGATAATGAGGGAAAAAATAAGTTGTAACTCTTCAAAGCCTCTGCTTGTGGACCTTATTACGCAGCAATAGATGATTAAAATGCAGACTGAATGAACTCATCATTTTATATGTATATATTTCCAGCGTGTCCACTTTGGTTCTTTTGTTTTGTTTTGTTTTTTACAAATTTCATCACTTCTTGAAATTCCCCATGTAGTCATGCGTGCTGTTCACCTTTTCTACAATGTCCTTTAATGTATTTATTATAGTCATTCTAAAGTTCTTTGATAATTTCAACATTTTGGCTGAGGATCTATTTCTATTTATTCTTTATCTCTTTATTATATCACATGTTTCTGCATCTTCCACTGTCTCATAATTTTTCACTACGCCAGATATTGTGTGTTAAAAAAATTTAAAAAAATTTAAGTTGCAAAGTAAATATTTACTCAGAAAATAGTGCATCCCTTCTTCTGTCAGGCTACTATTGTAAGGGTCTGTTTCCATCTACTCTGTATTAAACTGGGCTATGTTGTAGCTTTAGTTATATTCGGTTTACAATTGGATTTAAATATTTTGAGGACAGGACTAGAACTTTTCCCTTAGCATAATGTGGGATCTGAGCACTTGGGAGATCCAAAAAAAATTTACCCTTTGTTCTCCCAGTTCCCAACTTTCTGAACCATGAGAGATCTCTGCCCTGCAGCCTGACCACGAGCTTTGGAGTCACTGAGGAGTCCTCTTTTCTTTCCAGCCCCAGTTCTGACTTTCTGTAGCTCAGGAGATCTCTCTGTACTGATGTCCTGTCTCCAGTTTTTGGAGGACTGTAGCAATGGATTCAGTAAAGACCTGAAGTGTCTAGGAGGGGTTTTTTCCACCTTTGCTTCTCTTCCCCCAGCTTTCACGGAGCATGTTCAGTGCATTTGTTGAAGAGCCAGTGAGAGATTCACTGAGCCTTAGAAAGATTTCCATAAATTCTTGTGCCCTGATGCCAACCTTCAGTGGGACACTGCCTTGCACTCAGGAAAGGTCCAGTGCAGGTGGGGGATTTGTTCAGTTCATCTGCCCTTCCCCAGCCCTCATCAGGACACTACATTGTACTTGGAGAAGGTCCCTGCCTTTCATTTAGGGAAGACCTATGTTTCTCAGGGGGCTTTCTCCCCGCACCTTTGCTGAGTCCCCACCTTTGACATCCTTTCCCTGTGTATTTAGTGAAGATTCAAAATGAAGTTGACAGGTGGGTACTGACATGCTCTGTGACTGAGGATACCATCACACCAGGACCCATGTGGTTATTAAAATTCATGAACAGTTAGCTTGGTTTCTATTAACTCTTGTCTATGGTGGTTTCTTCCCCCTCCCGCTGTTTTTCCAGTGATGAACACAGCTATGTGTCTTCTTTTTCCTCAGATATAACTCTTTCAGGTTTCTTTTCATCTTTAGCTCTCTGAAGCTTTTTTTTAAATTATGGTTTATATTTTGCTTGGTTTGTTCTGGTTGCTTAGGTCAATTAAAAAGGAAGCTGCACCACAACATGGATGGATGTAGAGATTATCATACTACACGAAGTCAGACAGAGAAAGACAAATATCATATGATATCACTCAGAAGTGGAATCTAATTTTGAAAAAGATACAAATGAACTTATTTACAAAACAGAAGCAGACTTATAGATATTGAAAACAAACTTAATGGTTACCAAAGGGGAAACATGAGGCAGAGGGAGGGATAAATCAGGAACTTGGAAGGAACACACGCACACTATTCTATATAAGCTAGATAACCAACAAGGACCTACTGTATAGCACAGAGAATTCTACCTAATACTCTGTGATAACCTGTATGAGAAAAGAATTTTAAAAAGAATGAATATATCTATATGTATAACTGAATCACTTTGCTGTACACCTGAAACTAACACAGCATTGTAAATCAACTATACTCCAATAAAATTAAAATATTTTATAAAAGGAAGCTGTATCAAGAAGTGATGATATTTTCAGACTTACTATTGACTTAGTGAGTTTCAGTTTTACAAAACTTAGTTTCTCCATCTGTAAGACAGCTGCCACCTACCACTCAAAGGCTGTGAGGATTAAATAGTAAATGGCAGTAAAATTCTTAAAAATGGGGAAGGGGGTGAAATGCCTGTTTTTTGATTTAGGCACAGTCCTCCTAGTCATTTGCTCCATCTCCCTTGTTCACCATACTCATGGCTCTGATATTCTTTCACTCAGTTCCTCAAAACCGTCATGCTCTCTAGCCTCTGAACACACTGCTCCCTTTGCCAGGAACACGTACTTCCTCTTCCCTCTTTCTGCCTTGCTAACTCTTTGTTTGTATGATGTTTCTTCTAGGAAACCTTCCCTGATCCCCACCCATCCAGGTAAGTGCTTCCCCTTCAGGGCATTTTTCATTTTGTATTATGATTGTATATTTACATGTATACATCCTTTACTGGACTATAAACTCCCTGAAAGCAGGAATTAAGCATATCTTATGAATTGCTACATCACAGAATGTAACAATCTTCATATAGTGGGCACATAAGAAGCATTTGTTCATAAATGAATAAATGACTGAATGGATAATTCACTCTGAATAGGCTTATTTTAAAAATATTTATCATACACCTAAGAGGTACATAGCATTATGCTAAAGATACTCGTGAAACAACAGTATATATCCATATACAGCTCCCAGCCTCAAGGAACTTACATCTAGCTGGTAAAAACAGAGAAACACATAGGAAGCTAAATAACATTCAAATATTCAATATAAATAAGATGGTCATATAGAAAAGAAAATAATTTCAATCAGGAAAGATAAAATCAACTATTTTAACACTACCAGTGTGGCTGATAAAACAAAGGATATAAAGTCTGAGAACAAGCCTTTATATTTGGCAATTAGGAGGTTAACAGTAAACTCTGAGAGAGGAACTTCAGAACTGGTGACAACAGAAGCCAGATTGCAGGACATTTGGAGTGAAATAGTAGTGAAGAAGCCCAGTCTGTGGGTGGCGCTCACATATTCAAGAAGTTTGACAAGAAGAGAACAGAGGACCATTCTTTTGGAGGCGATAGACCAAGCTGGTCTAAAGGCACATGGGAAGGATCCACCGAGAGGAACAGAGCTTTCAAATGCCCAGGAAAAGCAGAACACCTGATAGAACATCATTCTGTAAGAGGAGATAGGGACCAACACTACTGATTGCAGCCAGGAATGAGCCTAGGAAAGGGAGACACCTCCTTCTCCAAGATAGAAGGAAGGCAGAGACTTTGAGGAAGCAGGTGGAGAAGAAGAACCTGCCAGATGGTTTCCATGGTCTCAGAAATGCACAAAGCAAGACCATTTGCTGAAAGAGCAAGAGAACTGCTAATGTGGGAAATATAAGGAGAGTGGAGGTGGGTGTAGAAATACTAATATACAGAAGTGTCCTCTCTTGGAACATGGTCTATGTCAAATGTCTTCTTGCATTCAGCAAACAGGGAAGATATACCAGGAACACCTGACATAAGACCTTCTATTGTGGTGGGGTTGGTTTCTTCCAGACAGGCTGATGTAGACCACTCTCAGGAAAGGCAAAGGCACATTCAAGTGCATCCTATGGTAGAGTAGTAGAGAAAGGAAGGAAAATGAAACCAGAGGAGTGTTGCATCAGGTCCTAGGACACATGAGATCAAAAAAGAGAGATCACATACCTCATCAAAAAGGTAAAGACCAAGCTGAGTAGTGAAGACTGGAACAGGAGCTCAGAAGCAAACACAGGAAAGATAGATATCAGAGTTCCAATCAGTGCAGTTCAGGGAACTCTACTATTTCACAACATCCAAGGCAGTTTGGTTATATTCTATCAAGCTGTCCACAATTGCAGTCACTTTCTTTTTAGTGCATTTTAAATGTGTGCTTGGCCTTTAGCATCAATAAACAAACAGGTGGCACCAGAGAAATGTATCACAACCAGCAAGGCTCAATATCAATGTCAGGACTCTAGCACAAGACACATTTACAGTCCTGCGAAGGACTAAAGCACTAAGATATTACCAAAGCAGTACTGGCACAAAGAACAAGTCAAAAGCTTTACACTAGAATTGACATTCACTCTGATGATTAGTTCTTGAGGAACAGGTAGAGTGGCCATTTATTAGAATTTGGGACAGAAAGGTGACTGGGACTCAAAAATATGACCAACCTTGGGCCTTTCTTCTAACTAGACACAAAGGTCAGGTTATATTAATTTCTCCTACCGCCACCAACATGAGTTCTAGAAACTCCAAAAGGATTGGACCAGAAGTGACAATGTAAAGGATCAGGACATGGTACAGATGGGCTTGTATACAGGATCCCGGGAGATCTGGTTGGCCAGGGTGAAGCCACATAAGACTCATGAACTAGACCTAGAACCACAAAGCCAGCGGGAGTGGAAACAATCAGCACAAGAGCATGCAGAAGTGAAAACTACTGGCCAAAATGAGGTGAACACCAAGGTGTTCCTGAAAAGGAAAGCATGGGCTATAGCAAAGAGAGAAAGGAAAATCAATAAATTTTAAAACTGAAAGAGTGCGAGGGAGCTGAAAGGGAGGTAAATGCAGTTACATAGTCGAGGATCCAGAAAACAGGAACAGGCTTAGAAAGATATCTCAAAGGAGTGAGCGAGGGGAATATGCTTGGCCAGAGCCGAGACATCATGCTGTAAATAAGATGGGATAATTGTGACTATCCATGAAGCATTCTCTGTCCCCAATTTTTAAGGCCTGTGCCCAGCCTTAAAATCAGGAGGCCTCCATAGGGGTATATAATGTAGGAATCAAGAGGACATAAAGGATACAGCACAAGGAAGCTTCTTAAGTAAGATCATGTGGTATATCAGGGGACCTGGGCTGTATTCTGAGAGACTTTCTGATCTTGTGAAATTGGGATTGGGAAATTACAGTTTGGTGGGGGTGACCAGAGCTAACCATTGAAATGTACAGTGGACACATGTAATTTTTTGTTGTCAAACATCCATTCTCTTTCCTTGTGAGGAAATATCCTTCCGCCTGTGTGTATGTGGCCTTGAGCATGGGTGATTCACAGGGCCTTCCACTACCATCTTCTATTATAGAAGCTGAAAGGAGCTAGATCCTGGTTCCTCCCATACCTTGCCATCCTAGGAGGTGGGCACTTGGCCCTATGCTCAGCCGATCAGACTCCAGGACTTTGAATCCTGAACACATAAGACAAGGAGGTGGGGATTGGTGGAGGCTGTGGTAGGGATAATAGAATCCTTGATTCCTTCTAATTTTCTAAGCCTGGTCCTGATCTCATCAATTCTCTGAGCACTTCATATCCTTCCAATGTAAACTCTTTCTGCTTAAAACAACCAGAGACAGTTTTTGTCACTTGCAACCAAAACCGCTGACTGAAACATTATGTGGTAGATGGTGAGAAGGATAAGAGCAGATCTAATTGTCAGCAAGGGAGATATTGATGTAACTGATCTTGAAATAGAGATTAGACCAGAAGTCAAGAACACAGAGAAGGATGTTACTGGCTGAGGTGAAACTGAGGAGTCAAAAGCTAAGAAAATTGCTGGTATCAATGGGTTTTGGAGAGGTTGAGACCACACGTAAGTTAGTGGTAGCTTTGGAAAGAATGAGGGGTTGGGAACATACAGAGTTTACAGTCCAGCAAAGAAAATTACATGAACAATCACCATAAAACATGACAAGTGTCATCATTAAGAATATGAGCTTTGGAGTAAAAACATCTACATGCAAATCTCACCCCTTACAAGCTATATGAATTCTCTGGACCTAAGTTCCCTTATTTGTAAAATGAAGTTATAATATATCCATTGAAAACAACTCAAATAGTGCAGGGAACCTGGTATATACTCAAAAAATGTTATTTTTTTTTATATGGGAATGTAGGGTGTTCTATGGAAGCACAAAGCCATTCACTTAACCTAGTTTTGAAACAGGGGAAGAAGTTAGTGCTAACAAAATAGTGATATTTAGACTAAGGCCTGAAAGATAATAAGAACAATAACAGTGATGACTAACACTTATTGAGCTCTTTCCATATGCCAAAAATATTATCTTCTTCATTCTCCTCAAGAGTTCTAAGAAATACGCACCATTATTTCCCCTATTTTGTGGATGAAAGAACCTGCTACTCAGAAAAGTTAAGCGCCTAGACCAAAATCACTGTGCTAATTAGGCAATGGAAAAATGAAGGGTGGGAGAAAGGCAAATGGATCAGCATATTAAGACAACCCAAGCTTCTGATCAGCAGTTATGCGATATCCCTCATTGCCTAGACCCTGCCATCACCATATAGATTAGAGGTATTTCTTTGCCCACAAACATTCTCAGTTTTATAACACGAGATGTTCAGAGGACACAATTCCTTAGATGAAATTTTGCTTCCATCCCACTTTTCAGGAGCATGTATTTTCCATAATTGAAGAGTAACTGATATAGTTATTGATGATGATAAAATTAATGTATTTTTCTTAATTAGATTCATGTCAGAGAACCTCTCAAAGCTGGCTCACAGAGAACCTGCTCAGTTTACTCCTGGGCATGATGCAAGTGAGGAGAAAAACATGCTTAAATGCCCTCCCTTCTGTTCAAAGAGAGGCCACATTTGTCCTACACACTAATCAAAGAAATGTGTTACCATCTTGCCCAGTTTGAGCCCTGACTTCATTACTAAACTACGGTGTCTGCTGAGGTGGGTGACTGGGGCAGCTGTTCAACATACGCCTAGCAACAATGAAAGCCCTGCTTAGTCTAGGAAGTGAGGGATGCTCTATCCCTTTGAAGCTGAAGGGGAAATTGTAAGTAACCATAAAGTAATTACCCACTTGGAACTTGTCCAGGCCATGTTCAATGCAATTGAAAGCTTTTGTCCTTGATGCCAACCTTCCCTAGCTTGGGGAGGTCAGAGAACTTGGAATATTTTCACCACTCTGTGCCCCAGAGACCTGACCTGCTTTGAAGATCTGTCTGAAATTCACTGAGGTCGCCGAGGGGAGGGATTACCGCCTTCCCAGCCAAAGAACATCCTGTCCCCTGAGAGTTAATATCATTTCAAACGCTCTTTGGTTCAGTAAATATTGCTGCTTTCTCTCTGTAGTGGTTCACAGAGTGCCCTCCATAGATTAGTATCCTATTTAGCAACACAACCACCGTGTGACGAAAACAGGACATGTATTCTTATTCTCAATTTACAGGCAAGGAAACTTGAGGATAGAGAGGGTAACTGATTGAAAAAGGATGCAGTCATAGTCTTCTGAGTCTTGTCATCTTGGCAGTTGGTGTCTTTTCTTCTTTACTCTACTTTACCTCTATGACTCCCAACTATGATGATTAATTTTATGTGTCAACTTGACCGGACCAAGGGGTGCCCAAATTAAATATTATTTCTGGGTGTGTCTATGAGGGTGTCTCTGGATGAGATTAGGATTTGCATTGGTGGACTCAGTAAAGTAGGTTGACCTCCCCAGTGAGGGTGGGCATCATCCAATCTGTTCAGGCCTGAATAAAACAAAAAGGGGAAGGAAGGAGGAACTCACCCCTTTTGGTTTCTGTTTGCCTGCTTACGCTGAGACATCAGTCTTTCCCTAGCCCTGCACTGGGATTTACACCACTGACTCCCTCAGTTCGCAGACTATCAGGCTTAGACTGGAATTATACTACCAACTTTCCTGGGTCTCTAGCTTGCAAATAGCAGTTGGTGGGATTTCTCAGCCTCCATAATCACATGACCTAATTCCTCATAATAAATCTTTTCCTATAAATATGTACTTCTATTTCCTTGGAGAACCCTGATAATTCACCAACCAACCCTCAGTTGGGGACATCCAAGTTATCTTTCAACTACCTTAAAGGTTTTCAAGAAATAGACCGAAATAATTATTTCCAAAATAAAAGTCAAATAAAGTAATATTTTTAAAGATATATGTTTAAGCTTCCAGATCTTATGAAGATGATGACCTAGTACCTGCTGACTCCTTCTTCAATTTCAGCCCTGGGGCACATGAAGAAGTATTAGGGAAATACGAATCTTTGGAGCTAATAAAAAGCATGTAAATCTCATAAGAGATGGAAAGATGTTTTGAACTGGTAGGTGGGGAGTGTATTACAGTTGGAGACAAAAGGCTATGAGAGGTAGCAGTGAGAAGGTATATTGGAGAAAAGCTTCTTGCTACAGGTCTTGGCTTCCCTCCTCATTGTTTAGAGACAATTATCACTAGCCACTTCCCTGCAGAAATCCTTTTACATTCCAGATCATTGGTGTTGGCAGTAAAATCAAGGAAGTGCAGGTGGATACTGGGGTGAGATGCTGAAAGCAGGGGCGGCTGACCAGGATCTCTCTAAAGGCCACTGCTAGAAAATATGGTGACACTGTGTGCATTAGGAAAAGGCACCTCCAGGTAGGCAGAGTCTCATACCTGGGTACACAGCTTGGGAGTGAAGGTGGATGGCAGTGCCTGTTCCCCCCTGTCCTATAAGTAGGGGCCACCTGCTTAATTATGAGCAGCAGCCCTAGCTCTCCAGTATCCTGTTCCCCACTTCTCCTCCAAACTCCCATGCTTGGGAGAATTACAATCTATGGAGACTGACTCATCTCAGGGCTGTTTCTCCCAATTAATTCACTTTAAAGGAGAAACTCTGCCCAGGTGAGATGCCCAGGTGAGATGCCCAGGGCAGAGGCAGTAAAAGGGACTGATACAAAGTGCTTTATGGTGCCTGGGGTA